TTCACCCTTCGGCTGCAGGACGTGAGCTTGCTGGTACTGGATGGAGCTGGGTGGGGCTGCCAGGGTGAGCCAGTGGCAACGGCAAGGGCTCTTGCAGCTGTCCAGCCAGTGTGCCCTTGATCTGCTGTTTGGAGAAAATGGCCATTCTGCATCATCCCCATAGGGTAGCATTTGGTGACCTTGTTGGGGCAAGAGGCTAGGTGGGGGCAGGAACTCTGACAGCTCATGGGCCCTGCTGCCCCAGGCTGAACACTGTGTCCAAAGCCTGCTGGACATCTGGCCAAGTGAGGCACTCGAGCGAGCCTGGGCCAGCAGCCAGGGTGCAGATGCTGACAGCCTGTGTGTGGGCAGGCAGCTGGCCACTGGAGCCTATGTCCACTGAGCTCCCCTGCTGTGTCCCAGGGTCCACCCCAGCAGGTAGAACCATCCAAATCCCAGGTCTGTCATCCAGGGCATGTCTGTCTGAAGACTGCAGACAGTCTTTGCCTAGGTCTAAGTGACAGTGCACCCACTGCCGAACCTTAACAGGTCCCTTCGGTGAGCTGGGCAGGAGAGAGGGGCTTCCTGGGCCCCTCACTGAGCTCATTTTGGGGGAAGGCAAGCAACTGAAGCAGTTTCAGCTGAGAGCTTCAGGCTATGACAAGGAACCAGACCTGTAAGTGAGCGTGATGGGGCTAGGGAGGTTGTGCTTCAGAAAGACTCACTTCCAGGGCCTCCCTGAGAGGAGGCAATACCCACTCTTACAAGAAGGAGCAGCATTCTGAATGGAGGGAACAGTCCGCCAAGGCATGGGATGAGTTGGGTTGGGCAGTAGCCCAAGGGCAGAGGTGGGTGTGGTCTTATAGCAAGTGTAGGGTTGGATCCCGCAGGCCAGGGTGCCATAGTTTTAAGATATTTGGGTAGCATCAGGGTCCCAGGGGAGCGTGGGTACAAAAACTTAGTGGCAAGACCTAGTCACACCCACAGAGCTGTGGGCTCTGTGTTCCTCACATTTTATTTGTGACAGAATAGGGACAATAGAGAGGCATGAGGAGGTGTGCACAGTTGTCACACATGAGATTGGACCAGCAGGGACAAAGGTGCTGGCTGTCACAGAGCATCACAGTTCACGGAGCTCCTCTGAGGACCTTGAGGCTGCAGCTTGAATCCTACCCTCTCTGGACACTTGGGGCCACTTTCGCTCCCCACCTTTTTGCTGCCTATCGCTGAAGACAGGGTAGTCAGTGTCTTGACTACCGACAGTCAAGACTTTGGTAGCCGAGAAGCATAAATCTATTTCCTCATGCAATTAGCTGGTTTTCCAGGGGCTGGGGAGCTTACTAGAGACCTTACCCTTTTCAGAAAACTATAAATTAAATTTCTATTGACTTTAGTGTGAGATGTTTAAAAAAATCAATGTCTCTATATCTTATATCTTTCCTTTACTCCCCTGCTCCCTACAAGCTGGTAACAAAGCCCCTCCTCCTCCTAATAATGGAAAATTCCTTGGGGGGCAGCTGAGGCTTTCAGCTAGGCAGGCACTTCCTGAGGTCCAAATTACAGGCTTAACACAACAACAGCTCTGACCCAGGCTGGGTGATCGAGAACCTGTCTCTTCTCATTTCCCCAGATTAAGTCTAGTTTTGCAGCTGGTGGAACTTTCCCTTCTTGCCTCTGCTGGCTCATCTGTCTTCCCAGGGTGCTGTCACTGGGTTAGGGAGTGAGCTGAAGTGGAAAGCTGCCTCTCAGGGTCTCCCTTTGCTGCCTTTGGAAGCTGTGTCCCACAGCACTCAGGATGGCTCAGCATGCAGACTGCCTGGCATGAGCTGCTTTCTCCTGCCCAGCACATTCTCCACTGTGGCTCTGCCATGGTGCTGCTGGCAGCCCTGCCCGGACAGCCCAGGGAGGCTGGGCTTCATCTGCCTTTGCTTCCATAAGTTGAGTCCTGACTCCCAAGCTGCCATTCAGCCCAAGGCAACAGGATGCTGAGGTTTCTAGGAAGTAATCCTGTTCCCTGGCCTGCCCATGAAGGGGAACCAGAGCAGGAACTCTCCAAAGATGCTTTGATTTGGTCTCCTCCCTCAGAAGCCCTTCTGTCTTTTCTAGGCTCTAGGGGACAGTGGGCAACACAGGCAAAAGTATGAGGGAGCTACACAGGGAGGCAAGTGGCCACAGCCCACTGTGGTGCTTTTTGGGTGGGGAAGGAACACATGGAGGGCTCAGGGCAGGTGGGGGTTGGGGAACTCTGAGCTGGCCTCTGGTATGGCAGCAGGCAGTGCCCACTCCTGCTGTGGGCACTGCCCACCTCCATGCCCACTTTCTCTGGCTGCTTAGTGCTGCCTGGGGATGTGGGCACAGGAGGAGCCAGAGAAGATGCCTTCCTAGAGAAGCAGGCAGGAGCATGGCTGGGCTTGCAAACCTCTGGGTGTGGACAGCGCTGGGTGCTGAAAGGACAGCGCCCGGTTTGGAGCCAGGCTGCTGTCAAAGCCAGGTTGCGTGCTCTCCCCAGTTGGAGTCCGGCGGCATCATGTGCGCCTGAATTTTTCCACTCTTCCTCTCTGGAATCCTGTCGATGCAGTCTTGGCAAAGATGGCTTGAGCCTGAGAGCTTTTCCCATCTATTTTTAAATGAAATGGAATTCCTGTTGCTTGCATGAAATTTGCTTTCACTGGGTGTTTTCATGACCCACTTCTCCAGGGTTGCAGGGCAGGGGCATGGTGGCAACCAGATTGCTGACAAGGCCAGACCCACAGGTGTGCAAGACATGACACTAACGACATGAATGATTAATGAGCCAGTCTGCTGAAGGACATCCTGAATGCAGGAAGCGGAGACTTTCGGCCGTGATGCAGGATTCACTTTCTGGAACCTTCTGAGATGCAGTGAAGCTGCCAGTGAAAACGCTCCTGGGAGAGGAGGGAACAGGAACATGGATGCAGACTTGCCTGCCTGGCTGGCTCCCACCAGCTTCCCCACTGAGGGGCCTAGCTCCTTGCTGCCCCCAAGAGACTGTGACAGCTGTGAAAGGCTCCCCATAACCATGGAAACAGGTCTTGCTTTTCATCTTTCCTTTATTTTTATTTTTGCTTGGTACAGTGTAGACTAGTGATCCTCCTGTCTCAGCCTCCTCAGCGCTGGTATCACAGGCGTTTGCCACCACTCCTGGCTTTGGTGGCTCGCTTGGCACAGAGCCGGCACAACATGCAGTACTGGGATCAAACTTGGGTCTTTGTGCTTGTCAGGCAGGGGCTTAGACTACTGAACTATCTTTTCAGCCCCTGCTTTTTTATATAAGAGACAAGAGGAGCACATTTGTCTTCTCCTGTCTGAGAACCCTGCACGGCCTTGCCCCCCACCCCAGTGCCTGTGCTCCTGCTAACAGAAGGCCACAGTTTCCTGCCTTCCTCCTTTGGGAGCCAACCTGACCGGGGCTGACCAGAGTCTACTTTGCTCTGAGATGAGACTGATGGAGTGCAGGGCTTCTCCTTAACAGGATGAGGGAGTCCGGGCCTTCCACAGTTGGGATGTTTGGTCATAGTTGCTTTGTTCTCCTGCAGAGTGAGAACAAGGAAAAAAGAAGGCGACCTTAGCCTGTGGCCAGCCAGCCTGTGCAGGGAGCCGGCAGAACATCTCCCTCCCTCTGAGCCTGGGCTGGCACTGCTTCCCTTGGCCCACCCTGGCTGGTGTGGCAGGATCAGAAAGAATAAGCCCACTTACTCCCTGTGTGGACATGGGAAAGGCAGGTAGGTGGAGGCTCAGGAGTGCCCCTGAACATCTGGTGCAGGTGTGGCAGGCCCATACCTGTGAATGCGATGGTTCATCTCTAATCTTCCAGATAATGGACAAGTTAGCACTGTGCCCTTTGGCCCTTCACTCAGTGTAATTAACCCCCAGACAAACTCCCAAACCTGAAACAGGCTCTGTGGCCATGAGTGCTGGGAACCAAAGAGACAATAGCCCAAAGGCTGACCTGCCATTGCGACGATTAGTGTCATTTACAGTTGAGGACAGTGCGTGCTGCTCAAGAGGACTTTTCTTTCAGTAGGACTTGTGGCGCTAGGTGATGATGGAATATGGCTGGATAGAATCAGGTGACCTAGGGCTGCTGACACCTGAGTGCTCCAAGTCCAAAGGCCTGAGAAATGGGACTCCACTTCTCAGCCGTAGGCTCCAGAGGGGCCCCTTTCCAGAGCAGCCCATCTCCTCCCCCGGGGGACACCTCCCACTGGGTCCAGTGTCTGTCCTCTTGTTCCAGATGGTGACACTAGTGTCCCCACTGGCTTCTGTGTTGCTTCAGCTCCAGGCCTGCCACGGACTCCTTCTGGGTCTGCAGCGCAAAGTCCAGGCCCTGCCTCTCCTGCTCTCTTCCCGCTTCTTACCTCCTACCCTCAAAGCCCCTTCCCCAGAGGGTTCCCTCCAGGCCCTATCCAGGCTGCTGCTTAGCAAGCTTCCCAAGTCCCCTGCACACCCACCTGAGGGCTGGGGGCAGATATCCGGTCCACTCTGATACAGGAGGAGGTGCCTGGGGTGAACTTTAACCCAGATCTTGATGAGAGCCAGGACCTTGCTCTCCTGGGGTGTCCACTCCCAGGCCCCAGCCGGCAGGAGTCAGCTCCAGCATTCTCCTGGCGTCCTGGTCAACGGCCTATTGTGCGATCTTTCCCGTGTAAGAGGGGAAAACCGGGCCACTCCGGAAGGAGCGGGTCTGCAAGGCCCAGCCGCCTCGTTCAGCCCAGGATTCTCTCGTCCCTCCCCCACTTCTTTCCCTGCTTTCCCCCTCCCCTCCTGGAGCCCGCGGTGGCGTCTCAGGGGTTAACGGGGGCGGGGCGAGGCGGCGGGCGGAGCGAAGTGGCCCCTGCGTCTCCGCG